TATATATATATATATATATATATATATATATATATATATATATATATATATATATATATATATATATATATATATATATATATATATATACACCCTGTATATATATGCGGAGTTGTTAATGGGTGTCTATTAGCGATAATGCAAAGCTCACTTCCCTTGTGGTCGTTTGAGCACTCTGGCCCCATTACGCTCTGCGCATGTCTGGATGCGTTGAGTCACCGTGTTGTACCACATGACTTGGTGAGAGCAAGTTCATGGGGTATAAATACGAGTGTCTCACGTATCTAGACGTGTACCAAGCTGCACTGACGAGGCGTTGAACGCCGAAACATGCATGTCAGCAGATTGTACTACATTTATATATATATATATATATATATATATATATATATATATATATATATATATATATATATATATATATATATATATATATATATATATATATATATATATATATATATAAATGAACAAGATATGAATTTGCTCTCAATTTTCAACTTCAAACTTCAGAGCATACGATTCTATTTGTTTCACGACTTGAATGTTGATAAAATGCTACAGTGTTTTTATAATTTAGACCAGAGAATACCAGGGTCTTTCTCAAAAAGACCTTGGGTTCGAGGATATGAATTTAGCATGTTATTATATATAATGAGTTGAGAATAATGTCCAATTCCGCGTCTCATATCAACCAATGTTTAATCTTTTGCGCGTGACTGATTTCCATATTTATAGCCGTAATTTATTGGACAAAATCTCAGTTACTGATATAATGCGTAAAAAATGAAAGTAGTAATTATATGGTATGTTTTGTAATCTCATTTCAGATTGTATACGCATCAATGACGATGAAATTTGCGGATGCCCTTATTGTAAGTATAAACTGCATGATATATTTTACAAAATTTAAGATAACAACAGTGCCATGCACGACAATTCAGTGATTAATCCTTGTGTCGCCGTTGTTTTGGTCGTAATTAATTAGTATTATCCTCCATACTACAATTCATCTACCATTCATATACCCATTAAGGCGGATTTCCATTTGCAAGAAAAATTTCGTTGTCGAAATTTTCCGCTCAATTTTTTTGAATTGTGAGCGGTCAATTTGATCATAATTTTAAAGAAATGTAGCGAAATATTTCAACGACGAAATATTCATGTGTTTACATAGAACTCATTCCTTATTGTGACTTATATGAATGTTTAATTTGACGCTATAGCAGTCAGATCTGATACATTTTAAAAAATGTCCACTTTTTTCTTCGACGTTCCAAACTAAAACAACTTTAAGTTTTATCTTTAAAATAATCGAGTGATACGAACATTTACTGATTTATACGTACATGTATGTGATTCATAAGTTCTTGGACTAACGTTCTTGGACTCGTGTTATATCTATATACATGGCTTAATTAAATCACATGACCATATATTATATCCATTCCTCAATACATTCTATACATTGTACCCCGGCGCTATTTTATATGGAAAGGCAGAATATTAAACTTATAATCACTGGACGCATCAAGAAAGAAATGTATCTGTCTCCGATACAAAATACAAAAAATTTGTTAAAATTACAAATATTTCAAACTTTGACACAACCATAAAAAACAATGCTCCAGAAGCAAGTGGGAAATTTGTTTATGTTGACAATTTATTGATGTTCTTAATTGAAAGCAGTGCACTTTGTTTTATTAGTCGATATATGTCTGTTCAAACAAATAACCTATATACGAACTATATAATAATGTTTTTGCTTTTTGAAAGTGAGCAAAGTGACAATGGAATCTTTCTCTGTCGTGAATTAGTAAACATTGGAGTAAATGCATTTTGATTCAAGAGTTTATTGTTTTTAACGCAATTGTGAATGATACACGCTTTTGTTTAAATTCAGAGAAAGTTGCAATCGATTTCATAGATCAGTCTTGGATTGCATGCGTATAGATAAATTCTCCACCTGTTAGTGCCCAGCACACACACGTTATTTACCGTCAAGATCGGCCCTTGCTTGAAAAATATTTTCTAGACAAATTTCCCTGCCGGAAATAGCATAAAATATCTCTAATAGCCTTTTATTTTAAAACCACGCGTGTGTAAAACTCTTTCTACATCGTCTTTTATAAACGTCTAATTACTCCATATTTCTTTACATTACTATACAGTAGATAAAGGAACCGACCACATTCGAGGGTCTATCAACGCGGGTTTCACAAGGGATACGTCAAACAACAGTCACGTAACTATGTTTTTAAATTGGAACGATGCTACTTGGAAAGATGCGATAAATATAACATATTTTAAAGTTCAGATACAGAAAGAACAAGAGCCAATAATCTTGCGGAAAGATTATGTCAACGCATCCTCAAATGTAAGTGATTGGCTATACACTGCCTTATCGATGTTAAACGCTGTCCCCTTTCTAATTAATTAAGGGTCTGGTATTACTACAGTATATATAGGTGTATTATTTATGAGTATATGTGCACCTTCGTTAAGAATCATTATGTTAAAACTATTTTCTCGTCACCCTTCAGTTTTTGCTATTTTTTGTTATGGCATGAAACTTTCATATAGCTCTAAATTTCATGTCGTTGCGTATTGTGTGCGTACCGGTGGTCGTAAATCACGTGGCAAATTCGTAAAATACGGCAGATACCGAGTTTTTCCGAGGAGCATTTTCATGCGATAATGTGATTCGAGGAAAAATTTACGTAATTGAGCGCCTTAGAAAAATAGTTCGAAGTTGTGATTTTGGAGTCGTTGTGGCGGTTGTGCTTCCACTGATGTTTCACTAGCGTTTATTTTATATATCGCGTAAGGCCACGCTATCAAAATACTCATTTTTATATTAAAATTGAAACGCAGCCATTGTGCTCGCATTGGTTATATTGTGTGTACAACTTCAAAACTACAGTACATAATACGATTCAAATTTAATACAACGAAATTGCAATGTACTTCGATAATCATAGTTTAATAATTCATTTTCAAACTATTATAGTAGTTCACCGTTTTCACGGGTTTTTGTATCTTTAAAAAGCTAGAACAAAGCTAGATTTGTGGGAAACAGCATTATTTAGTCATAAATTTGTGAAGGAAATCCAACAGTCAATCGCTTTCGATAAAACCTTGACCTTTTTATTACCGTCGCTTGCAACTAACGGTGAACAGTCGCGTCAGTTTAGTTTACCTAATAGCTATTTCAATAAATATATTGATAGTAAACTTATTCAATCAATATTTTAAGTTTCAGACCAGATGTGTACCAAAAGTTTACAGTCGATGTCACGGAACTTAATTTGAACACAAATGTTCGGACTATTGGAATTGACAAGCCAATTTGTAAACAAAGTTCCTGATTGGTCCCTGAAGTAAAAGAAGTCAATCAATGCGTAGTTTACAAACTGGTTTGTGAATCTCACTATAAACTTTTTGAACTTCGCAACGAAGTTCGGAACATTTGTGGTCAAAGTTGTCTGAAATCGACTGTAATATAAGCGCTAGCGCATCATAAGGTTCAGATGGCATGCAACATGTACGCAGGGCGTACCTATTTTTTTAATATGTTCATATAGTCGTGACGGATGTTGTTTTAAATTATAAGTATTATCAAACACTTGCAAAGAAGAATTTATTATTAATAGTGAATTGTAAAATTGTAAAGTACAACTTAAAGTTCAGAACATTAGTATAATTAATATATACATGTTGATTTAAAGTTTGTTCGTTCACTGCAACCTGGTAATCAATCATGTTTCGCTCGCTACTCTGGTTTAAATAAATTATTACAAAGCCCAGTCGAATTGTAATCAAGACCCAACGTTTCGACACTCCAGTCTAGTGTCTTCATCAGGGGTAATCTAAAATAGCAATCGTGGCTTCTTAAATACCCAAGGATGACTTCGCCTGCCAATGAGATGCATATATTCCTCTAGCAAATAGGCACCGTCATCCCTATTCAAAGCATGATTACTCATATTTGTATGCCACGCGTGAGCGTGGGATACTATAATATCCCACGGTGGATCTGCCGTGGGATATTATAGTATCCCACGCTGGATTGCGAAATCGTGAATTTGAGTGAAATACCGCAAAAATCACATTATCACGTGGTACAAATGCTGTTTTTTCATTGGACAATTTGAATTCGAGGTATAATATAAAGATATAATATATAATATATAATATATTATACATTATACATTTTATGTACTATTTAAAACAGGAGAAGAGGAGTGTTTTATCATATTTAATACGCGAGGCGCGGCCGAGCGATTTAGATATGATAAAACGGGAGTTCGATTGTTTTTGAATAGCTTAAAATACGCAACCTCGTTCCCAGGGCTTTTCCCTTTTTGTCAATGGGAAGGCGAGAAAAGGCCCTGGCACCGGCCGGTCACATGACTTTAAGCACCCAGATATAGTGGGTGTAATAAATTATAATAATAATGAATTAGGAAATCCAAGATGGCCGCCAACCTAAGAGTGTCCACAAAATTTAAGGGCTTAGAGCGGCTTAAAATGCGTTTAGTCTTTGAAATTTTTCCTTCTTTTTGCTACCGACGTAGTCGAAATCAGATTCTTCAGCTTTCATTACATGGAAACTATGTAGTTGCTGTTCTTCCAACTGGATTTGGTAAATATCGTTCGTTCGCTAAACAAAATTAACAGTTGTTCTCCAGCTCGACAGGCTTGCTTAAGAGGACACGGAAAGTGTTTTGAACTGGGGATGTTAAACTTGGTTTTATCCTTCCATAGACTCTGCTGTGCGATGATTGGAGCAAGTTTATGAGGAATATTTTATACAGTGATTCAAAGAAATGTTTTTGCATATACTGTATATGTTATTGATGTATTGTTGAATGTGACTTATATTATAAAGTGCCAATGGTTGGAATATTTATTCATTGATATTTTAAACACAGATGGAGTGCTATATGCTCTTTCCTTGTTTACGTTTTCCTTGCAGCCAAATGTTGTTGAAGCTGGCAAGCTGCAAAACTGACATATGTGTAAGATATTTATGAACATGCTTTGATAGAAAGGGATAGATTATATAACGCGAATTGCATGACGGGACAGAACATTTATCGACCAGATAAACCACATCGTAAACAAAAGGCTAGAATCATCCTTGATGGAGGGAGTCAGCGAACCTATGTCACAAAAGAGTTAGAAATGAATAGATTAAATGGTCCTTTCGAGACGGATTGGAAAGTCGAAACTTAAATAACATTACGAGCGAAAACAGAGTTGAAATTCACAGCGAGAAGTCGAGTGTTTGTTCTGGCAACCGAATATAGTTAAGTATATGATATTTTGGTGAATTTCAAGTATTTACAATGGCACAAAACTTGGAGAGAGATAAGAGATCAAGAACAGCCCGCAAAACACATGTACGGCGAATAATAAGTGAAACCAACGAATTATTGACGATATTTGACGAACGAAAACTTGACCATCGGCAAAAATATAAGCATTACAAGTCTACGCTAGAGCGAAAGAGAGACGTGATTAACGACTTTGACAAGTCCATTTTAACGGGAATTAAAGACGAGGAGATCAAAGCGGAAATCGAAGAGACGTCGGAGTTTACGGACACGATAAATCTGACTTTAATAGCTCTCGGGGAATCGAAGATATCAAAGGAAAACGAAGGCAAAAATGTCGAGAACGCAAGTCAACCTGAAAGTTCACCGCCTCTAGAAGAGGGAAATCACAACACATCGAGCAGTTTAATCGGTAGCAAAGTAAGAGCTAGACTTCCTAAGGGACAATTGTCGACATTTAACGGAAATTACACTGAATGGCAATCCTTTTGGGACAATTTTGAGTCGGTTATTGACTCGAATGAAGATTTGAGTGAAATCGACAAGTTTTCGTATTTGAGAGCGTCGTTAAGTGGGTCAGCGGCATCCGCCATTAATAAGGGGTTTCCCCTGACAGGATCAAATTATTCTGGTGCAGTTAAATTATTAAAGGAAAGACACTTGAGATTCTCAGAAAATTATTAGTACTCACATGGATTTATTGATAAACTTACCAGCAGTTTAAATGGGAAAGATCTTAAGGCTATGAGACAATGGACCTTTCACCTTTTGACTAAAATTTAGATCTCAACAAGTCTAGACAAAAATTTCATCACTGCTTGAAAGAGCTTCACAAAATTAGTAATATTCCAAAGTTTCGTTGCGAAATGTTGTAAAATGCGGAAAATATAGCCTTGCGAAGTTTGCCGTTTTTCAGTCATTTTGTATTACGCGCGGGAAATACAAACCTCCTTCGGAAAAAGGGTATGTATTTCCCGCGCGTAATACAAAATGACTGAAAATTGCAAACTTCGCAGGGCTATATTATCCGCATTTTACAACATTTCGCAACGAAACTTTGGAATATTACTAATTTTGTGATGCTCTTTCAAGCTGTGATGAAATTTTTGTCTAGACTTGTTGAGATCTAAATTTTAGTCAAAAGGTGAAAGGTCCATTGAGCGATGATATTGAAGCCCATAATGGGGTACTGGAGTCCCTGGGGTGCAAACCAGAACAGTACGGTGAACTATTTCTACCTTTGTTGTTAAACAAAATTCCAAAGGAAATTAGATTGGATATATGCAGTAAAGTATCGGAAAAGTCATGGAACTTTAAATCAGTTTTAAAACAACTTACTGTGGAACTAGCAAACAGGGAACGATGTGAAATAGTAGCAGCAACTAAGAACCCTCAGGAGGAACATAAAAGATTTAATCGTGGTAAATATTTTGGCCCAAAAGATCCTACAACAACATCAGCATTTGTGATTGGAGGAAATAGAGAGCATACCTGCATTTACTGTGCTCAACCACATTTATCGATTAACTGTACAGTAGTCACGAATGTTACGAAACGGAAGGAGATCCTTAAACTTAGTGGCCGTTGTTATGTTTGTACCATGAAGAACCATATAAGCAAAACCTGTCAATCAAGAACACGGTGTGGCAAGTATCAGGGACGACATCATACCAGCATTTGTTCTCAAGGCAAAGAAACTCGCAGACAAGAAATGAGGAGTGTTGAGTCACAAACTGTAGAACACGGGAAACAGAATAAAGCAGAGAACAGCACAAAGCAAGACCAAAGGAACAAAGACAACACAGTACCTGAAGAGTCATCAACAATGTGTGTCAACACGAAGAACGCAGTTTTACTCCAGACAGCTAAAGCGAAAATTTATCGACCAGATAAACCACATCGTAAACAAAAGGCTAGAATCATCCTTGATGGATGGAGTCAGCGAACCTATGTCACAGAAAGAGCTATCAGTGTACCATTAATTAGTGCTCCAGTGCAAGGGCAATATTTGAAGCAGGCAGTGAAGAGTTACCCACATCTGTCAAATTTACAGTTGGCCGATGATTGCAAGGGACACGCCCCGATTGATGTCCTAGTGGGAGCCGACCAATATTGGAACCTAGTGACGGGGGGAGTTGCCAGAGGTGAATCTGGACCAGCTGCTATTCATACAAAGCTAGGATGGGTCTTATCAGGTTCAGTAAAAGAGATGCCAGTTCAGTCTAACTCATCTACCAATGTTGTTACTACGCATGTCCTGAAATGTGAAGTTGCAGTAAACCCAGAAAAACATAACGTTGAGACATTAGACAAAACACTGCAACAGTTCTGGGAGTTAGAATCACTTGGAATTAAACCTAATGAGAGCTCAGTCTATGATACATTCAACCAACGAATTTCCTTTGACGGACAGAAGTACGAAGTTAGTTTACCATGGAGAGAGTCACACCCGATACTGCATGATAATTATCAAACTAGCGAGAAGAGATTAAGTTCATTGTTAACCCGACTTACGAACGAGCCCGGAATCCTGAGAGAATATGACTCTGTGATCAAAGAGCAGCTAGAGAAAGGTATTGATGAGCAGGTTCCAAGCAACGAAGTGATGTAATTGGCGAAGTGCATTACCTTCCACATCACCCGGTAGTGCGCAAGGACAGAGAGACTACAAA